GCCTTCGCCTCCCCCGAATACAGAGGCACAGCAGCAGCAGCAGGGATGGTGGGGAGCCCGTGCAGCTGCTGCTGCAGCTGCAACTCGAGTTCTTCTCCCTTATGAAGATATTCCCTCTTCTCCTGCTGCTGCTGTTGCTCCTTCCGTTGTTGTTGCTGCTGCTGCTGCTGCTGATTGTTGCGTTGCTGCAACCTCAGTTGCTGCCGTCTCCTAACCCCGCGGGTGTCCTCCCTCCACCTGTCACGGCCGCCTCTAGAGGAAGTCTTCGCCTCGCGCTGTTCCTGCTTCGAGGCTTCTGCCCTTCTACGCTGTACAGAGACCTGAAATGCACCTGCATCCTCACCTCCTCCTGCTGCCTTCTCACCCTCCCTCCTGCCAAGCCCTGCCGTTGGTGTTGCTGTTGGTGTTGGCGTCGGTGTTGGCGCTGCTGCTGCTGATGTTGCTGTTGCTGCAGTGCTGCTGCAACCCAAGACATCCCCACTGCTGCCGCCTCCGTCCGGCGCCGTGCTGCCCGATGACCCCAAACTGCTGTCTAAGAAATCTAAGGAAGAAAAAAATACACAAATAAGCACAAAATATGTAAAATCAAAATAAATCAACCAGACGGCACTCCGCCCCAGTCAGCAGAGATGTGGCTCGCGTAGCACCGGCTGCAACACCAGCTGCAATAGCAGCCGCAGCAGGCGCAGCAGCAGCAAAAGCAGTAGAACCACCCGTAGAAGCAGCTGCAGTGGCAGCACAAGCAGCAGCAGCAGCAGCAGCAGTTGGAATCCGAGCAGCACCGGGAGCAAAAGTAGGAACAGCAGGAGCAGCAACAGGAGCTGGAGCTGGACCANTGGAATCCGAGCAGCACCGGGAGCAAAAGTAGGAACAGCAGGAGCAGCAACAGGAGCTGGAGCTGGACCACCAACACCGGAAGCAGCAACAGCTGCTGCTGCACCTGCCGCATCTGCTTCATCTGCTGCATCTGCTACTGCTGCTGGTGCAGCTGCAGCTGTTGCTGCATCCGCTGCCGTTGCAACTGCAACTGTTGCCGCATCTGCTGCGGCGGCTGTTGCTGGTGGTGCATCGTGCTTGGGCATCTCTCCCGTACCTGCTGTTGGGGGTGAGGGTGTGTTGGTTGTTTCCTCTGGTGGTGCAGCGGCCATTGATGACTGTTTGCTAACCCGCCTAGCAGCAAAGAAGAGATGCTTTCCCCTTGAAGAAGAAGACGATGAAGACGACGAAGACGAAGAGGAAGAAGAAGAAGAGGACGAAGAAGAGGAACTAACAACAGCAGACTGCCCCTTCGGATGCGAATCGTCGGCCCCATGAGCATGGCGGCAGCCACGCCCTGCCCTGTAATGCAGGCAGTGAGAAAACAGGATGAAAATGAAATCGATTCAGCAAGAAATTGAAAAAAAGAAAAATACATTGCTGCGAAGGCGATCAGAAAAGTATATGAAAATGCAATCCATGCAACCAGAAAAAAAGATACGGAAAGGCAGTGCATGCCGACATGGAGAAAGGAAAGAGAGCGGAATGCTGATAGATATAGAGGGAGATAAAAAAAGAGAGAGAGCGAATGCAATGCAAACAGACAAACTCCCAGGCTTGTGCAACACAACAAAGTAACAAAAGCTAGACGAACGACCGAAAACTGAAAGAGGCTGAGACATATTGTGCATGCATTCGGAAACAAAAACAGACAAACGCAGCAGCACAAATGAGCAAACAAGCCAACAGACCAACATAGACGAAGATACATACAAGACAAACAACTAACAACCCCTACATACGAAATCCTAAACAACCAATAAAACGAGACCCTAAACAATCCCTAAATACTAGACCTTAAACCCTAGAAACGAAAAACCCCGTAAAAAAAACAACAGACAATCCATTCAAACAGGTGGAGCCAGTAAAAAGAGACCATAAAGACGAGCGGCGGAAAACAGCAAACGGACAAACAAATAAACCGAAAAGACGAGGGAGAGACCAATGTAACCCCAACCAAGAACCGTACAACAAGAAGATCCACCCCCAATAACAAGGAAATTGACAGCTGCATCTACAGGCATCGAATGCCCATCCACTAGCCCCATTAGCACTGAAGCAACAGCAGCAGCAGTAGAAGATGGGACGGCAGAACGAAGATGACGACTAGCATCACCAGCAGCAGGAACAGTAACAGGAGCAGCAGCAGCAGCAGTAGCAGCAAGAGCTGAGCCGAAGCTGCAGCACCTGCAGCAGCAGCAAGCGCGGCAACAGGATAAGCATGTGGAGGATGACGAGCAGCAGCAGCTGCTGCTGGAGGAATAGCGGCAGTGTCAGCAGAAGCATGGGGGGAAGCAGCAGCAACTGCAATAACCGTAGCAGGAGCAGCAGCAGCGGCAGAAGCAAACGAACTATCACCCTCCAAACGAACTATCACCCATTGTCATGTTCTGCTGCGTTGCTGTAGCGTGTTGATGTGTTGCATGCCAGCTTCTGCATGTACACCGTAGCATCTGTACGTGCTCCGTTGCATCTGTCTGTACACCGTGGCATTTGCCTGTACACCGTAGCACTTGTCTGTACACTGCAGTGTTACTACGTCTATACAGACGGGCATTTTACTGTACACCGTGCAAGCTGTGCGTACACCCGAATATCTCTCTGTACACCGTAGCTTCTGTCTGTACACTGTAGCAACTGACTGTACACCGCAATGCTCATGTTTCCACCGTAGTACATGTCTGCACCGCGTAGCAGCTGCGTATACACCCGAGCATCTCTCTGTACACCGCAATATCTATCTGTACACCGCAGCACCTGTCTGTACACCGCAGCATCTGCTTGTACACCTTAGCATCTATCTATACACCGGAGCATCGGTCTGTACACCGGAGCAACTGTGTGCGTCTCACTGTTGTCTTACCCGCATTTTCCCGCTAGCCAGAAGAGACAAAGTTGGGGTTTGTACTGATTGCTTGCAGTCCTCAGTTCAGCCTCTCCGTGTGCGAATCTGCAATCTGCTGCTGTACACTGCCCCCTCCTAAAGGAGACACAAAGCCTCGTCTTCCTCAGGTTTAGGGGCTGTCTTATCTCACTCTGTGCATGCGCATAACTGCAAAGGTGCCCATATATACATACACCCCTCTCAAAGAAATGGCACATCTTTGTTTTATAAAACCCCTCGCCACCTCCTCTCCCCTCACCGGGAGATTGAGATGCACATACACCCTGATCGTTATCAACTCCGTCACCCTCAAACCCTAAACCCTCAGAATCACCACTACCCCAGCTGCAACTCGCACCACCGCTGCTGCTCCTGCTACGTGCGCATCCACTTCTGCTGCTCACACTGCTGCTGATACCCACGCTGCTGCTGTTGCTGCTACGGTCGCCCCCACGGCTGCTGTCGCTATGCAAGCGCACGTCCGACCCCCTTACGGGAATTTCCTCTTCGCCCTTACCCTGAGGGCAGCTGCTGCTCTCCCCCTTCCTCTCCTGCTTCGCCGCAGCCCCTTGCCGCTTCCCCTCCACTGCAGCAGCAGCATCAGCAGCTGCAGCAGCTGCTGCTGCTGCTACAACTACTGCTGCAACAGGAGTCGTCTGATCCTTAGACGCATCAGCAGAGAGGG